TTTATTAATGTTTTGTATGAATTGGTTGAAATACGATGATGATAACCTTGCAAAGCTGGAAGGAGATGCCCAAATTACAGATAGCAACCTATTATCACATGTTTTTGTGAGTTAGTTGAAATATGACGATATTACCTATGGAGTCTGGGTACAATTATAAGTTCTAGAAGGCAGGACTTTTTCGTTCGTTCATATTTTTCAGAGGCGGAAAAATGGAAAAAGTTTGTCTTGAAGGCACATGTTTCCCAGATTATAAATCCAACCAGAGCTCAAAATCAAACATTCGTGGTTCAGCCTAGCACGACTAACGAGACATTGGCAGCGCTATTGGATCACGAATGCTTTGTTTTCCGACTTTGGTTTCACATTCATTCACATTTGATAACTCCGTTTTTTTTTGTTAACCAGTAAAATAATCTTCAATGGACTTCACCACAAAGGTTACAATATCTGCAATTGCGAAAGAGTTTTTGGGTGGAGTTTTGGCTAATACCACCTGGATAGTAGTTGTTTTCTGATAGGCGTCAGTCCATTCAACCTACTGTGTAGGTATATTCGAGACTGGCTTGAACGTTCAAAGTTCATTTCTTTAGATTTGTTTACTGCCAGTCTCCAAGCATAGCCCACTGACTAATAAGGAAGTTTCTCTTCCTTATTCAGAGGAATGGGGCAAATTTCGGATATGCAATTGGTTAGTACCAACTCAGCTCCAACTTAGGAAAAGGAATGAAATACTCTGAAAGGATTCCGATTTTCAATTATGGAATATCATTGACTTTAGGTTGATGATGGCCACTATCTTGCACTGATGAGTGGCTAATGAGCCCGAAACCGGTCTGCACGTGTATCCGTTCCAAAATTGGAGGTCGACTCTTCCAGTTGTCGATGCCTGTCGGATATAATACAACGCCCTTCGTGGTATTAGCCAGGAGAGTAGTTGTTTTCTGATAGGCGTCACTCCATTCAACCTACTGTTTAGGTATATTCGAGACTGGCTTGAACGTTTGAAGTTCATTTCTTAAGGTTTGATTGTATTTGCATTCAATTACATGAATATAGTTTCATAGTACGAAGTGATGGGTTGAGCTCATAATAAAGCTTGAAGACAGAGAAGTTTTGTACGGAGGAAGGAAGATACGACCCCTTTGACGTGATGTCTGTCCAATATTTTATTTTTTTGTAAATTTATGGGGACACTGTTCATTGATTATGGAATAGGTTGAAATAAGATGTATGGTGAAATATGTGTAATGAATGCATTTTTCTGTGATCACTGGAAGAAACGTCAATTATATCACCAATTCTTGTTGGGTACTAACTCCCGTTCTTTTTCGAGTGAGTAATTATTCATTACCCAACACCTCCAAGGCAATCACAGTTGACCAGATGAATTACTCAACACCTTTACACAGATGAACACATTTATTATTTTACAATAGTATTTGAACTATTTTCATTCGCAAGTGAATCTTGAGATTACCTACTTCTGAAACGTCAGTGAACCAACAGGTTGTTTAGAAGAAATAGTTCTTAATAAGAAGAAAACCGTGAACTCGGTAAGTAATGACAAGTAAACTTGACTCAACATTTTTCAAAAATTTGCCACTCAATAACAAAATGAGATTAGTTTCTCCAATAGCTTTATGTCTCACCTGTTTTTCAGAAGGCAGTGTTTGATATCTGCGTTTGTGAACCAGTGATCGTGGGTTCAAATTACACCAACTGCAGATTATATTTCTTTTTTCAATAACTTGATTTCCAATATATTTCAGATTGAATGAATTGAAAATAATCGAAGATATTTTGTATGCTTTTTGCGATGTTTGAATCTTATGATATCAATTTCATATGGGATATCATTCACGAATTAAGTCCATTTAGAAGTATTTCTGATATAAATTAAAAAAAAAATAGTGATAAATGATCATCATTCACTCGAATGATTTACGATGCAAGTGGTTAGCGAGGCAAATTTCATTTTTACGAATATGGTCACATTTTTGCCCGTTATATGAGATACTTTTAGGTTGTTTTAGAAGTTTTGTCCGTTTTTATGAATCTACATCAAACTGCAATATCTCAGTGAATACGCATTCAATTCACTTTCGCCAAAGTAACACAAGTCGAGCATGTCAGCATGACAATTGAGTGCTCGAGATACGATAAATATATATATATAGAGAGAGAGAGAGAGAAATTTGATTAAGTTATGTCGGTTAGGATAATGGGGAAGAGAAAATAAGAAAGTTAAGTTACAGAAAATAAATTAGAGAGTAATAGAGGAGTGTGTATCAGTTGACAATTAAATTCAGTGTATTGTTTTCGAGAATAAAACTTTTGAAGTTTTGTTTGTAGTTCGCAATTTTTGTTATATGCTCAACTTTTAGAGGTAATATATTGTATAGTTTAGGTCCGAAATAGGATATAAATCTTTGTGTATGACTCTTTTTAAATTTGGGTATCCTAATAGATAGATCCTCAACAGATCTTGTGTATTTTTCAGCAAGATTTTTTTCGTAGTCCTCTTTGTTTTTAAACATTCACTGAAGACATTGATAGGAATATAGACCCCTGACATTCAAGATCTAGAAATCTTTATATTGCTGATGTGTTGAGAATAACCTATGTTTCTTCAATATAATTTTCATTAAAGTGTTCTGTGTTATCAACCTTTCTACCAATGGACAAGAGCAATTTTGTGTTTCACACCCTGTTTGACGTATACTCAAAGTATTTTTTCCGGCTGATCATTTTGTAGTAAAGAGAAAGTTAGAAATTTTGTTTCACTAACATTCAGAAGGTTATAATTTAACCATAGCCTTACATCGCTTAATACCTTATGCGAATCCTTGTATACATTTTCCCATGAGTAATAACAATAGCCGTTTCATCTGCATATGATATGAGATGCCCTTTGAAGTTTTGTATCGAAATTAAACTGTTTATATGAATAAGAAACAGAATTGGTCCTAGTACTGTTTCTTGGGGAACCCCTATTATGACTTCCGTAGAACTACTAAATTGGTTATCGATTTTTATTTTTTGTACTCTATTAGTTAAGTAGTCTTTTAGTAAAAGTAGAGTTGGTTCCCGTATATCGTATGTATATAATTTATTCAGAAGCTTGTCATGTGCTACGGTATCGAAAGCTTTGGCAAGGTCCAGAAAAATCGTCAAACATTTTTGAGAGTTATCCAACGCCATTACGATATTTTTATTCATATCTAATACAGCACTTTCAGTATTAGAGTTTGCGATGAAACCAAATTGACTTTGTGATATTACATGATTCTCACAAAAGAAATTCATTGATCTTTTTTTAAGTGTTTGCCGGCTTTATGAATAGGAGTCACCGATGAGTCTTCCCACTGATGTGATAGTTCTCCATGCCTATAAGTTAAGTTGATAATGTGTACTAGTGGCTCTATCAGATATTTATGTATATTTTTTATATATAATGAGGATATGTCATCAGGGCCTGGTGAACAGCTGTTTTTGAGTTTTGATATCATTTCAATCAATTACTGCGTTACTGGCTTTAAAAATATTGTTGATTATATGGTATATGGTTTTAGCCATATCAGAACCTATGCTTGCAAAGTCGACGAAGGCCATTTTTTTCCGGTGAGAAAGTTATCAAAATGTTTGAGAAGATGGTAGTCTGTTGGGAGAAGTCTGGAAAGTATGGTGTGAGAAGCAGAATTCCGACGCTCAATATTTTTATTTTTCGGACGGTGATTTGTGAAACGTGCGGATGGGCGTTATCGTAGAGCAGGATTGGACCTCTTCTGTTGACCAGTGCTGCTGCTGACGCAATTTCCGGTATACAATAGGACTCTGCTGTGATGGTGTGGCCCGGTTGCAGAAAGTTATAGTGAACCATATCTGCTGCTGACCACCACACAGTTCCCGTTTCCTTGGTGGGTTTTCGCCCTTGGGAAATGCCTGGTTGGTGCATCGGTGTCCACCCACTGTCCTGAACGTCTCATGTTGTCGTAGAGTATCCACCTTTCATCACACGTGACTTTCCTGCCCAAAAAATGATCGTTTTGGTTGTGCAAAAACAAAAAACAACAGACGTCGATTTCTGTTGATCGTTCAAATCATAGAGCACTCACTTTTCGAACTGTTGACCTTTTCAATACGTTTTAAACAGGGAGCTAACGCCCAGTTCTTTCACCATCGCCGCACCATCTGTGATGAGCTAGGGTCCTCAAATCATCGTCCTGGATTACTGTAGGTCGACCACTTTTTCAAGACCAAAATCTCGGGAACGACATTTTGCAAACCAACGTCGAACAGTAGGTTCATTAATAATATCATTGCTTAATGCCTAAGTCATTTTTCGAGTTATTCGGGCAGCGCTTTGCTTCATCATATAGTTATGAGCTGAAAAGAGGCAGTAAATCAAAATTTGGAAAAAAAATAACAATATCAATGTATACAGTGAAATATTTTTATCGATCAGTATATACCTTGATACAGTAGAATAAATAATAATTCAGAAATGTAGCTACAGAAACACATGACACAGACACATGCCAGGAAGTCATTCTTGATGAAGTACATTTCACGCGTTTGAATTTAAAAACAGGCATTTCACAGGGATCAATTCTTGGCCCTCTCCTATTTACGATATACACCAGTCAATTAGTGAAATGCCTTCAGTATTGCAGTGTACATCTTTATGCCGATGAAACCTAAATCTATTATTCTTTTGAACCACACAGGGTAAATAACGCTAATAGGCGGATCAGTCATGATCTCGACACATTTTCATCCCTTGCTGAAAATATGTACTAAATGAATAATACATCTAAGTCGAAAATTTTCATTATTATTAATATTATAAACGGAAAAAACCTTTCAAACAAACTGATATTATCATGGAATTTTATCAAGTGTCAACTGATTCCATCACACGTATATAGAATTTTTAGATGCTCCGGCACTGGTTTGTCAATAAAATAATAACAGGATACTCAAATTATCAATTTTTTCATTTGTCATTCGTCTTACGAACACTGCTGGATAAAGTCTGCTCTATTTTTGCTCTGAATATCATTTCTAGTTAATTATTAAGTGTTTTGAAGTTGAATTATTGCTCTATTCATACTCCGAATATCATTTTTAGTCAATTCAAAAGTGTTTTGAAGTTGAATAATTGCTCTATTTTCACTTCGAAAATAATTTCTAGTTAATTAAAAAGTGTTCTGAAGTCGAATAATGGCTGATGTTGTCCCAAATTCAAAAAACTATCAAAAGTTGAAAAAATCAAATAACATATCCCATCACTTCTTCAACTGTTCAGGTAAGTTTTCTGTTAATTGCACTAACAATAAGTTGTTGAGGAAAGTTAGTTATTATTTCTTGTGTGAGAAAATTTGATAGAATTTTCATAATAAATATTTATCGGTTATGAACTAAGAATATTATAAAACCCTTTGAAACCTCTCAACTTATGAAATAGTGAAATATTGTTCATCTATTATGTATGTAATTTACGTTATGAGTATGGCGTATGCTACTCTAGATCAACGGTCAGCAACAGGCGGACCGCGATCCGTTTACAGACCGCGAAAGGTCAAACCCCGGATCGCCAAATATTGAAATGTGTTGTATACCAAGTATAAATTGATACTTAGATAAAGTATACAATACCTTTATTCATTGAACTAATATTTTGAAACTGAAGCGTTACAAGATAATATAAAATTAACATGTGAACTGATACATAGCGTGTCTGCTTTTGGTCCCAATCTGGACATCTTTGAAAATGATATTGCGAGACAAGAATTGAATTTACCCATTTTCCCACAATTCTAGAATACAGAAAAAAACTCTGAAGAGAACACTGCAGTGTTTGTAAAATGTCTGGGCGATCTTAGGAACGATTTTGCTACAAGATTTCAAGACTTTGCAGAGATAGGCAAGCTATCTCCATTTATTAAATCACCATTTGAAGTTGATGTAGCGGTAGAATGGAAAGATGTGGCTGACAAGTTGAATAATCTATCAAAGCCGTCACTTCAAATAGAAATAATTGATTTGTAAGAATATGTGTCTTTGCAAACGTCTAAAACGGTATCCACTGAGGAATTTTGGATCAAACATGTCCCAAAAAAATGTGAAAATGGCAAGAAACACTATGTTTGTCTCGACGTTCGTATGTGAAACATCTTTCTCAAAGATGATTTTTTGAAAAACAAATAAGCGGACGCCCACCTGAAAGACAAACTTCGAATTTGCCGTTCCAATCAAGAACCATACTATAAAAAACTGTCTCAAGATCATCAGTGTAGTTTCTCACAATAATTTTAGGCCTTGTGTTTCGTAATCCAGAATTTGATTTGACTCCAAAATATTACATAGGTAGCACTCAATTATCATCAGTTGGTTTTTTCTTGACCTCGTTAAAATTTTCCCACAGTATCCGGACTCTACCTAAAACTACTTGTCGACCCCTGCTTTAGATCCTAAAATGCATCCCAAGAGTGCATTTTAGTAAATAGTTGACAAAAATACTTCAGGAGAAAATTTGCATTTGATCATGTGATTTTTAAAAACACACCTCTTTTTTTGAAGAGGAGGCAACCACAAATTTAAAGAGTCAAAAAGAAAAGTACTACTTGTGACATTTCACTTGATAGATTTCTCACACTGAATACATCAGAGAAAGTGTCTACATGTCATTGTAGGTCAATTTTATTTGAATCCGTTTCTCGCAAAGTTTCACACATGGAAATCAACTGTCGGTATCTGCAGAAAATTCCTAATGAGGAAGAAAAACACCGATTCAGTTTTAATTCTCATTGATAATAATTCCTCAAGTGAAGTTTGTAGCTAGTAAATCAACTGCATTAAGTAACTTCACTTCTGATTCTATCCAGTATAAGGAAGACGTTGGTCCTGTCTTTTTCCGCAACTTTCACTGTAATTTGTTATCTACCAATAATTCACTCAAGTTGAAAATTCAAAAGATTCATTAATCAGTGAAAATAAATTTTTTTTCGTCAATATTACTATCGACCTGTCGACCTGTGGGTGAGGGGAACTAATACTCCCCAAAAGACTTTTTGCAAAACATGCCACCGTGGACCAACCTACCCAAGCTAAGGTGTAAGGAATCGCGCCGACAGCTGAATGGCCGCAGGGTGATATGCGGTCACGAACGATTCCCTTAAGGAACTGGACGAAACCTCATTGTAATCAGCCTACCTCTGGTTATGCCGGTCTCTGCCAAAGGTGACCAACTCTTCCCCTTTGCTACTCATGGGAACACACATGAATGAAACAACACAAAAACAGAAACCACAAAAACAAAAACCAATCCCGAGGCTGGACAGAAGTGCTCACCGCAATCTAAGGCGGTAGATGGGGATGAACAGAAATGTCCATCCCAATCTACCGCTTGGAGTAAGGCTGGACATAGTACGGCGTAGTGCGGCAGGCGCCAAGAGCTACCCTTTGACAAGGAACCGGCTGCTCCTGCAGGAAAACTTCCTCACTTATGCACCTCCACGGAGGGAAAACCAAGAAGGTGTCTTGGCCTACACCTGCCAATATAAAGGAGATGTCTCCTAGTGACCTATTTACCTTCCTGGAAAGGACAGGATGAGAACAACTCCTCGGGAGGATGTACAATGGGTCACATGTGGCCTAAATGCTGTGAATCTACACTCACCATCCCTACTCTACAGATACAGATACTATCGACATGGTTTTTTATGATCAAAAGCTACATGAAAATGATTTCTAAAATTCTTTAACTGTTTTTGTTTGAAAAGTTGTTGTAAACAAACGCGTTGTTTATGAGATAATTCCAAAATTGTTTTGGAAACAATTGTTTGTTTTGATGCAGATTATCGTTCACAAAAATTGATTCTTAAAAAAAATATTGCCCAAAATCGGATTTGCTAACAATTTTTCTACCACTTGTAATTAATTTCAAGGAACCATTTCTGTTATTCATAATTCATCTTGCTCCTTGATAACTGATTTGATAACGATTTGTTACAGACAATTATATTTTCTATTAATTGAGATACAATGAAAAAACTATTCTTCCAACAGGGATCTATTCTAAGACTTTTCAAAAATAACTCCCAAAAAGAAATAAATCTCAGATTTGTTATTTAACAAGCATCGCACTTGCAATGCTCATATTTAGGTAGAAAAAATTGTTAATTTACTAATGCATAATCAACTGGAAAATCATGATAAAAATTTTTTGACCGCGAATTATGGTTCATTCATTTATCCGATAGGTGCGTGATATTTTTCAGTTCCCGATTTTGATATTCAGTGATTTGAAATAATATTTTTTCATTAAAGGTCCAAAGTGACATTGGCAGCGCTATTGGATCACGAATGCTTTGTTTTTCGACTTTGGTTTCACATTCATTCACATTTGATAACTCCGTTGTTTTTTTTTTGTTAACCAGTAAAATAATCTTCAATAGACTTCAACACCATAATGGTTACAATATCTGCAATTGCGAAAGAGTTTTTGGGGTAGAGTTTTGGCTAATACCACCAGGGGAGTAGTTTACTAATAAGAAAGTTTTTCTTTCTTATCAGAGGAATGGGGCAAATTTCGGATATGCAGTTGGTTAGTATCTCGTCAACTAGATGGAGTGACATTTTGTTGTTCGCTCCAACTTAGGAAGAGGAATGAAATACCTTGAAAGGATTCCGATTTTCAATTATGGAATATCATTGACTTTTGGTCGATGATGGCCACTATCTTGCACTGATGAGTTGCTAATGAGCCCGAAACCGGTCTGCAAGTGTGTCCGTTCCAAAATTGAAGGTCGACTATTTCAGTTGTCGACGCCTGTCGACTATAATACAACGCCCTTCGTGATATTAGCCAGGAGAGTAGTTGTTTTCTGATAGGCGTCAGTCCATTCAACCTACTGTGTAGGTACCTATATTCGAGACTGGCTTGAACGTCTGAAGTTCATTTCTTTAGGTTTGATTGTATTTGCATTCAATTACATTCTTCAGTATAAATATAATCAATTAAGTTTTTCTTTCATTTACGTTTACATTCCGCCAATCCACTCTCATATAATTTATTAATGTTTTGTGTGAATTGGTTGAAATATGATGATGATAACCTTGCAAAGCTGAAAGGAGATGCCCAAATTACAGATAGCAACCTATTATCACATGTTTTTGTGAGTTAGTTGAAATATGACGATATTACCTATGGAGTCTGGGTACAATTATATTCAAACTAACGAGTTTACTTATAATTAGATGTATTCTTCTAAGTAATATTTTCGTTTTATTGAATAGTCCTTGACTGATAAGCACTCATTGGCGTAACAATCAACCTTTTGACAATATGGTCTCCACTGAATAAGGACCTAGGAATTGGTTTGATTTCTATTCACATTTCAAGTTATTCTGTGATCTCAGAAGCGAGCTCCATTTGATCTCAAGATGACATTTTGATTTTTCCATAATTCCAATAATTTCAAAAAATGTTTTTCTTTTTATTCTAGATACTCGAATGTTCCGTGGTGAACGATGTTTTCAGTTCGAACGATAATTCATTATATATATATTTTCCGACCTTAGGTCGTAGATAACATTATTCATTTGATTTATAGAGAAAGTGCATAAGTTGAAAATCAAGTTGCATCGTGGATTTGCTCCAAATTTTGGTATGTTTTTTTATTTTCAATTCCGAATGGCGGTCCTTCAGGTGAATAGAAATATGATTCAATTCTCAAATGTTTTTGTATAAAGGGACTAGGAATCCGGAGTTACATCTTTTCAAAATATCAGATCGCCACGAAGCTAATATTGATAAAATTATCAGGGTGCTCCAAAATTTTGTTATTAATAGATAGCTTCGTTACTAGAAAAGACAGAAAAGTAGAGCAACTATCAAAGGCATATCAATTATTTTTACTTTGTAGCAACGGTAACTATCGCTGAAAATAAAACGATAGATCACACCATCTCTGAATACATATTGCATTAATTGAACTTTCTAAATAATTTCGACTTTAATTTCACAATATGAGCAATGAAAACTACAAATTTATCCAAAAATTTCAGTTCTGGTTTCAGCAAAAATTTGAGTATACTGGACAACATTCATATGATTTGAAAAAATATATCCGATGGAATAGAGAAAAGTCACACTTGTTGATTTCAGTGAAGCGTTTGATCNGCAAAAATTTGAGTATACTGGACAACATTCATATGATTTGAAAAAAATATATCTGATGGAATAGAGGAAAGTCACAATTGTTGATTTCAGTGAAGCGTTTGATCGTATTTCTCACAATCTAT